TTCTTTACAAAGACAACCTGCTGCTGAGAGGCGGCACCGGCCGCGAGGGGGGGGGGGGCGGGGGGGGGGGCGGGTATTCTGGCTCGCCTGTTGTTCTGGCTCGCCTGTTGTTCTGGCTCACCTGTTGTTCTGGCTCACCTGCGTAAATGACGATCCCCACGGCCTCCTCCGTGTTGCGGACGGTGCAGCCTCTCAGCAGCAGGTTGTCTTTGTAAAGAACGTCTCTGCTGCCGCTACGATGGAGTCTGAAGAGATGAGAGGAGCAACGGATCATAAAACTGATCACAGATCAGAACAAAAGAAACAAAGGAGCAAATATGACTTTGATTATTGATCGTTGATGATCCATATTAACAGATACAGATCCCTTTGTTGTTTGATTACATCAGCTGGTCTACAAGGATCCAGATCCTTTTTTTTTGGTCATCGTCCCAAAAATTATTTAAACTTCTCTGAAGTCAATAAATAATCAAAAATACTAAATGTTATACTTTTACTTTGTTTTAGTAATTTATAGTTTAAAAATAAAATAAAAACACATAGTTCAAATGATAAGGGAATAAAAGATTGTATTTTTATTGATTTAAATAAATCTCCATTATTATATTTAATGCTGTATAATAATGTGTTTAGAGCTTGTGTTAGAAGTTAAACATCTCATAATTCATCTCTAATATCTATTTTATATTCATGTGAAAACATCTCCTTCAAACTACTCATGATGTAACTGAAGTGAACCTCCGTTGGTTAGCCGTTAGCGGTGCTGCTAACGTTACTAGCTCTCCTCCTGTTGGTTAGCAGTTAGCGGTGCTGCTAACGTTACTAGCTCTCCTCCTGTTGGTTAGCCGTTAGCGGTGCTGCTAACGTTACTAGCTCTCCTCCTGTTGGTTAGCAGTTAGCGGTGCTGCTAACGTTACTAGCTCTCCTCTGATTGGTTGTTTACAATGAAACATGATCAGAGATCAGAGACTAGAAACACATGTTCTACTGAGTCAGTAAAACTTTATTTACAATCTGATGGTTAACGTTAAACTTTATTTACACTGTGATGGTTAATGGTAAACTTTATTTACACTCTGATGGTTAACGGTAAACTGTGAGGGGGTCAGTACTAATCTTTGATCCACTACGGTCCGTTACACCACCTGTGCTAAATGATGCCAGGTGAGTTTCTAATGAGTTACTCCAGCAATGAAGTGTTGCATTGACTCACAAGAGACAGAACAAAAAGGTTCAAATCAAGCAGCAGATGCTGAGATATCCGGACTTTTTAATGAGTCAAGCTCCCAAAAACACAGGATCCTACATTTCCCGTGAAGCACCTCACTAGCGTCCCTTCCTTAGTTCCACCTAGCATAGTAAAGGGTTAGCTGGTCATCTGTCAGAGAGCTCTATGAACTACAGCTGCTCACGAGGAAACAACAACACATCTTTAAAATGTGCTCCGTCAAACGGGACAAAACCTGTGACCACATCCACAAGAAGGCAGATCAGAATCGGTTTGAGTCATAATTACAAGTTGGAGACAAACTGCAGTTTCACATTATTTCCGAACGTTTCTCAAAATGTCGCAGCGCTGATTTACAGTGAAGTGAAAGCTTTGATGTGAGAACAGATGAGGCTGATTTAAAGAGACAGTACTCACATGTAGCCTCGGAATCTGTTCAGGTCGTTGTTGGGCTTCTCACATTCAATGACGCCGTTGTACTTTAACGGGTCAAAATCACAATCCTGCAGACACACAACACACACACTGTTATTATTGAAGCGTTTGTTGGTTATTAACATTAACCTTCTACTTGCTATAACGAGTTATTGTCTTCAGAAGGAGACACATTTAGTATCAGTAACAAGGTCACACTCAACTACAGGAATGGAACTTTAAAGTAAAGAGTATTAAAACTGAAGCCATGTTTAAAAGGCTCTGAGCTCCAGACTCCCTTTAGAAACCTCTCATGTTACTGCAGCAGGGTCTGACAGTCTGCTCCTCTCAGTCCTGGTTCTGGTCCTCCCGTGCCTCCCTTCCCTCCAGCGGGTCCAGCAACACGTCCTGGGTCTCCAGCAGCGTGGTGTCGGTGTTGACTCCCAGAGAGGAGGAGGAGGAGGAAGAAGAAGAGGAAGAAGAGGAGGAGGAGACGCTGCTGCTGCCGAGAGTTGAGTTCTCCTCGTCGCTCCGGAGCTCTGGATCCGAGTCTGTCCACGGTGGACCGGTCTCTGTTAGAGGATCTGGGTCTGTCCACGATGGACCGGTCTCTGCTGGAGGATCT